AAGTTATTTATAACAATAATGGACTATTATTCTTCCAATATCTCAAGGATCAGTAGTGGTGCCCCCTCTTTCATTCCAGATATTGGTGATTTCTTTTTTTCTTCAGTCAGGCTTGAGATTTACCAATTTTATTAGTTTTTTCAAAGGACCAGCTTCTGGCTTTATTGATTTTTCTTTTTCTTTTTTTTCTGTTCTCTATTTCATTGATTTCTGCTATTACTTTTATTATTTCCTTCCTTCTAGTTGCTTTGGGTTTAATTTACTCTTCTTTTTCTAGACTTTATTTTATTTTATGAGACAAAGTCTCACTCTTGCTGCCCCGGCTAGAGTGCCGTAGTGTCAGCCTAGCTCACAGCAACCTCAAACTCCTGGGCTCAAGCAATCCTTCTGCCTCAGCCTCCTGAGTAGCTGGGACTACAGGCATGTGCCACCATGCCCGGCTAATTTTTTCTATATATTTTTAGTTGGCCAATTAATTTCTTTTTATTTATAGTAGAGTCGGGGGTCTCGCTCTTGCTCAGGCTGGTCTGGAACTCCTGATCTCAAACGATCCGCCCACCTCTGCCTCCCAGAGTGCTAGGATTACAGGCATGAGCCACCGTGCCTGGCCTTTTTCTAGACTTTAAAGGTGAAAATTAAGATAATTAATTTGAGACTCTTTTTCCTCTCATAGGCTTTCAAAGCTACACATTTCCCTTTAAGTGTTATGTTAGCTACATCCCTCGAATTTTGATATATTGTATTTTTATCATTCAGTGCAAAATACTGTCAATCTGTCTTGTGATTTCTTCTTCAACCCAAGGAATATTTAGAGATGTATTGTTTAGTTTCCCAAAATTTGGGATCTTCCTAGTTATCTTATTGTTTTTAGTTTCTAATTTAATTTCATTGTGGTCGGAGAACAAATTATTTGATTTCAACCTTTTAAAATTTATTAAAACTTTTTAATGGTCCACAATATGGTCTATCCTGGTAAACACACCATGTGCATTTGAAAAGAATGTGCACTTTGCTGCTGTCTAGTGAAATGTTCTATAAACATCAATTAGGTCAAGGTGATTGATAGTGTTGTTCAGATTTTCTGTCTTTGCTGATTTTCTTTTAGCTTCTGAGAGACATTAAGATTTCCAATTATGATTGCTGACTTCTTCCTTTAACTCTATCAATTTTTGCTTCCTGTATCTCGAAGCTGTTATTGGACACCAATTTGTGACTTTCATGTCATCTTGATCAATTAGCTATCATCCTGACATGCCCTTCTTTATCTTTGGTAATACATTTTGTTTAGAAATCTATTCTAATCTGATACCAATATAGCCATTCCAGCCTTCTTGCGCTTACTATTTACATGATTTATCTTTTTCTATCTATCTATACTTGATTTCCTTCTGCCTTTATATTCAAAGTACGTCTTAGAAGAGGCTTATATTAGTTTTTTGTTTTTTTTAATGGACTTTATTTTTTAAAGGAGTTGTAGGTTCAGAGCTAAATTGAGATGAAAATGCAGAGCATTCCCAAATACCCCCTACCTCTGACATTCACACAGTCTCCCCGCTGTGACAGCTGCACCAGAGTGGCGCCTCTGTTACAATCAATGAGCCTGCACTGAGGCTTCCTTATCACCCAAAGCCCACACTTTACATCAGGGTTTGCTCTGGGTATTGTACCTTCTATGAGTTTTCGCAAACGTATAATGACATGTTTCCACCATTATATTAATAGTATCCTACAGAACAGTTTCACTCTTCTAAAAATCCTCTGCGCTGTACCTGTTCATCCCTCCCGTCCTGCCAACCCCTGGCAACCACTGCTCTTTTTATTGTCTCCACAGTTTTGCCTTTTCAGAATGTCACATAGTTGGAATCATAGAGTATACAGCCTTTTCAGATTGGCATTTTTCACTTGGTAATATGCACTTAAGCTTTCTCTGTGTCTTTTCATGGCTTGACAGCTCATTTCTTTTTTAGCACTGAATAATATGCCATTGTCTGGGTGTATCACGGTTTAGCCGTTTGCCTACTGAAGGACATCTTGGTTGCTTCCAAGGTTTGGCAACTATGAATAAAGCCGCTATAAACATCCGTGTGCAAGTTGTTGCATGGACATAAATTTTAAGCTCATCTATGTAAATACCAAGGAGTGAGATTGCTGGATTATATGGTAAGAGTATGTTTAGTTTTGCAAGAACTGCCAAAACTATCTTCCTAAGTGGCTGCACCATTTTGCATTCCCAGCAGCAATGAATGAGAGTTGCTGTTCTACATCCTTACCAGCATTGGATGTTGTTAGTGTTTTCAATTTTGGCCATCCTATTAGGTGTGTAGTGTTCTCTCATTGTTGTTTTAATTTACAATTCCCTAATAGCATAAAATGTTAAACATCTTTTCGTAAGTTTATTTGGCATTTGTATATCTTTGGTGAGGTGTTAAATTTGTTTTTGTATCTATTTAAAACCAATCATCCATCTTAGTGTTTTAATTAGATTGTTTAGTTCATTAACTTTTAATGTAATTATTGATATGGTTGGGTATGGGTCTATCATTTTTGCTTTGTTTTCAGTTGTCTCCTCTGACATTTATTTCTCCATGTCTCATTTCTCACCGTTTAAAAATTACTTAATATTTTAAAAATTATTCTATTTAAATTTTCCTAATGCTTTTTAGCCATAGTCTTTGCCTTATGTTTAGTGGTTGATCTATAATTACAAAATACATCACAGCCCATTCACAATAGATAATGTACTTCTTCATGTAAATTCTACAGCTTAAAGGTACAATTTCTTAAATACAAAATTTATCAGAAGGAGTTAACAGGTAAATGGGTATGTTAAAGGAAAGAATAAGTAAACGTTAAGATAGGTCAATCAAAATTACTCAAAATTAATACCAGAAAGGAAAAAGATTTAAAATAAGATGGACAAAATCTCAAGGACTTGTTAAATGATATCAGACAAACATACATGTAATTGGAATCTCAGAAGGAGAGAAGAAAATGGAGTAGAAAAAATATTTGAAAAAATAACAAAACACTTCCCAAACGTAATAAAAATCAGAAATTTGCAGATACAAGATACTAGATAAACACTAAGTAGAATAAACGTGAACTCTACTCCAAGATACATGGAAGTCAAACTGATATAAATCTTGAAGGCAGAAAGACAGCAATAAAAAAAAGCAATTTCCATTGGATTCTTTATTGTATCTATTCTCTGCTGAAACGTCCCATTTCTCTGCTGAGATTATGATTCATCAAAAACAAGGTTTTTTTCTTAATTTTTAAAAATTTCACTGAAAATAGCTATAAAGTCCTTTAAAACTACAAAAACACTTTAAAACCCTTGCCTTTTTTTTTTTGAGACAGAGTCTCACTCTGTTGCCCAGGCTAGAGTGAGTGCTGTGGCGTCAGCCTAGCTCACAGCAACCTCAATCTCCTGGGATCAAGCGATCCTCCTGCCTCAGCCTCCCGAGTAGCTGGGACTACAGGCATGCGCCACCATGCCCGGCTAATTTTTTTTATATATTAGTTGGCCAATTAATTTCTTTCTATTTATAGTAGAGATGGGGGTCTTGCTCTTACTCAGGCTGGTTTCGAACTCCTGACCTCGAGCAGTCTGCCCGCCTCGGCCTCTCAGAGTGCTAGGATGACAGGCATGAGCCACCCCACCCGGCCTGGACTATTTTTAAAGATCAAAGAATACTAAAAATATTTTGCTATGGGCCCTGAGGGCAATTTTAAGGGATAAGAGCCAAAGGAGTTGGGCAACTGGAGCATCACTGCACAGCTGGGATAAGTTTGCAATCTCTCAAGGTAATAGAGACCAATATTTCCTAATATCTGTTCTCTCTCTCTCTCAGTAAAACAAGCAAAACAAGAAACAACCCAGGTTTTTAGCCAGGCATGTGGCTACTGTGAACAAAAACTACATCTCCTAGTCTCTATGACACCCAGGTGTGGCCCTGTTACTAAGTTTTAATCAATGGGATGAAATAGAAGTGTGGAGTTCAACTTCCAGGAGGTACAATTAATGGGGAATGGAGAGGTGACACCTTTTTTGGCCCTTTTATTCCCCCTGCTGGCTAAAATGCTGATGGATAGCTGAATGCAAGTAGCTGTAATTAATCTTGAGGTAAAAGCCATGTGCTGAGGTTGCAGGAGCCTGAATCCCTGACACCACCTGCCCTGGACTGCTCACCTATAGATTTCTTTTATGTGTGGGAAAAATAAATTCATATATCATTTAGGCTGGGCACAGTGGCTTACACCTATAATCCTAGCACCCTGTCCGGAGGCCAAGGCAGGAGGATTGCTTGAGGCCAGGAGTTCAAGACCAGTCTGAGCAACATAGTGAGACCCCACCTCTACAAAAAAAATAGAAAAATTAGCTGGGCATGGTGGTGAGAGCCTGTAGTCCCAGCTTCTCAGGAGGCTGAGGAAGGAAGATCGCTTGAGTCCAGGAGTTGGAGGTTGCTGTGAGCTATGATGACGTCACTGCACTGTAGCCTGGGCAACAGAGGGATACTCTGTCTCAAAAAACAAACAAACTAACAAACAAAAAAAAACTTATATATCATTTAGCCACTGTTATTTTGAGTTTCTATAAGACTCAGCCAGATCAAATCCTAATCAATACTCTGACCATTACATTGGGGAGAAAAGGAGTTCCATTATCTTGTAGTCAAACCACCTTTACCTGCAAGGACTGTATTACTTGGCAGCCTTGCCTGCAGCCGCTCCACCCTGCTCCATAAATAAGGAGTGCTGTGTAAGCAGTCCTAACCCTGACACTTCCCAGGCCTCAAGTTCATCTCCGTCTGGAACTGTCCATAAAACCGTCCCCAAGCTCCCACCCCAGCCATTATTGCCAAGCAGATCCACCCCTATTCCAAATAAATCCCCTCTGGCAGAATGTTTCCATCCTCTTCCCCCTCAAAGCTGTCCTGAGTTATTAGTGCATTCATTCATTCATTCATTCATTCATTCCACAAATGCATATTGAATACCTGCTTGGGTATCTGTCTTGCTCTGAATTCATCTTCGCGAAGAGGTTGGATGAGGCGGGAGTTTTCCAAATTGTGCTACCAGCCACCAGATGACGCTCCCATAAATCCAAACCCTCGCTCACTCCATCTCCCATTATTGTTCTGGCACCACCTGAACGCAACACAATTCAAAAATAGGAAGCCGATTCATAGAATAGAGCGCCGATTCATAGAATAGAGCTGGGAAGGCCCCAAGAGGCCATCTAGTTCCGCCCTCCTATGTGAATATAAGAAGGCAGAGGCCCTGAGGTGGCAGACTACGGTAGAGACCTGCCCAAGGTCACGCAGACAGTGGCCCGGCCAGGAGGGATCTGGACTCAGATTTCTCCGCCACCACCCCGTCCTTTGTTCTTTCCTGGACCATTCTTTCCTTCATTCGGGCTTAATGTAAATACAAAGATTATATGTCTGTTATTTTCGTTAGAAAACTTTTTACTTTAAAATCCATCCCAGTTATCAAAGAGAGGATTGTCTTTGCATTTGTACTCTGAACACGCCAGCCACCAAGCCCAGCGCCTTTTCTCTGGCCTTGGAACCCCTGGGACCTGGAGAATTAAGTCAGGTGAGAGTCACATGCTTACTTGCAAGGCAAGTCTGCAGAGCCAGCTTCCAGCCAAATGCCCTTTGCCTAAGGCTTGTTCCCACAAACTTCTCTACAATTCCACCAGCCACTGTATGGGCGACTATTCTCCAACGCCTTGTGCTAGCAAAGCCGAATTCTGGCCAAAAAACAACAACAAAAAAAAAAAACTGTCTTTGTTCCGGTTTCAAGGTGATGCGACTGTCACTTATAATAAGTAGGCAGCTTCCAGAAGACATCCAGGGCTCCAACCTGCGACCTTGCTCTCCTGCTGTGAACACAGCTGCCAGTGCCGCTTCAGTCTGCAGTTTCAGCAGGAGGAAGAAAGCACTTGTTTTTTTTAAGCTTCTTTTGTTTTGTATCTCATTTACTTGTCATTTCTAGTCCTACATAATGGTGTGCCCTTTATGAGTGTTTTATTGAATTTTTTTTTTTAAAGCAGGCTATTTTTTGTGCCCTGTCATTGTTTTCAGAGACAAAAATCTGCCCAGAATTCATACATCCTGGACTTGGTGACCCACAAGTGCCTTCTTGAACTTTCACTACCTGTTTGGGTCTCATCCAGCTTTGGGGGAGTGACCTGGAACAACCTTTGGGTATTTAAACACGATTCTAAGCCCACTGACCGGTCCGGGGTGTGGCAGGGTGGGGACAACCCATTCACCAGTGTTTGATCTCCACTCTCCACCCAGCAGGTTCTGGTTTTGGTCATTCCACCGAGAAGAGCCAAAGTGGACAGAAAAAACAGAAGGCTGGCAAGAATCCCGAGGGCCTGGGTTCAAGGAAGCGCTTCAGTTTGTGAGCCTTTGGAATTAAAACCAGTATGCACAGTTTATTGTGTAAAAATAGCATCATGAATATAAAAAAAAACCACTACTGTTCTCCAGCTGGGCAAACAGGGTCTATGAAGCCTGAAAACGCTGCAAAGAAGCAGCAAACATTCAAAGGAAATCTCTAAAGGCAGACAAAGTAAAACAAGTTCTTTTGGCTTAGAAGTTAAGGCTGTCCTTAGAGGCCATGTAGAGACCTTAATTATTTACCTTAGGACACTAGGGAGCCAGAAATAGCTGCCAAGTTGCAAAAAAAAAAAAAAAAAAAAAACCAACAAACAATAAAAGCAGGCTTTTAACCTCAAGCAGATTAAATAAAAGGTAGAACAAAACACCAGAGCCATTCTTTCTTCAGGAAGCCTGAAAGTTTTCTATTTTCCTGCAGGGAAAGACCAGAACTGCAGGGGAATGACTCTGCAGCTGCCCGTGGAAATCCAGGGCAACCACGAGCAAGGGAGTTAGGAGGGAAGAAAATAAAAATGTCGTTTCTTGCCAGGTGTGGTATGTGCATAGATCAGGAGCAAGTGCTGCTGTTTTGCTTTCTCCGTGTTACAAGGAGGGAACACTTCAGACAAGGATTCGGCTTGTGCAGTCTTAACTTTGAAAGTTTCCAGTTTCTTGCTTGTAGTCACAAACTTTTTATTGATATCTATGTTCAACTCCTTGATCCATATTGCTATGGGTGCTGTAACCACTTTTTTTTTTTTTTTTTTTTTTTTTTTTTAGCATCTAGGATCTAAAAGGGTGTGGACAGCAGAAGTGAGAGCCACAGGCATCGTCTTCTAGCTCCTCTGCCCCTCTACAAATGGTCCCTGGGCAAAAGGAGGTGTTCTGACATAACAGGGTGTATGTAGACAGTCAATGCAAGAAGGAGGCCGAGGTCTGAGCAGGGTGGGCTGAATGTGAGCAATGGAATACCTGGGTTAGCTGAACCGAAGCAGGATCAGGGGCGGTCACAGGACCCAAGAACTGGAAGGAGCCAGTGGGAGCCTCTGGTCCCAAATCCCACCCAACGGCAGATCCTCTGCTCAAGACTCCTGACCAGTGGCCCGCCAACCTCTGCCTGGAATTTCCAAAGATATTTCTGGCACGCCCAGAGTGGCAGCACTCAGATGCCTGTGCAAGAAAGGATTTAGCAAGCAAGCTGCAAGGAATGTGGTTAGCTGATAACCGCCAGCTGTCCGTGCCTCCGTGGTCTGTCTCAGCTCTGGCGACGTCTTCTCTGGCAGTCCCCAGACGGTGGCCTAGCAAGGCAGCAGTACAAAGGCCTGGCCATTGTTGCCCAAGAGGGGACTCCGGGAAGGGGCAGTCTTTGCTTTGGAGCTCCCCACGAGGCCGGCTGAGACTCTGGCAGACCTGCACCACAGCCTGAAGCTCTCCTGCCCAATCTTGCTTTCATTCTCTTTTCTTCTCCAGGTGTTGTTCCTCAAGAAGCCTTAACACGTGAAGCACAGGGGACTTTCTACGGCATGAAACTGTTCTACGTGATATGATGATGGTGGAAACATGACATCTGTCAAAACCCATGGAACTTTATAGCACGGATGTACACAAATTAAAGAAAAGTCATTTAAGAGGGTCAGGGGATCCCTGGATGGAATGCAGACTGGACAAAATAATCTAACCGAATCACAAATGTACGAAACAACCTCACTAAAGATAGCGTAGGGAGAACGATGCTGACTCGGGTGCCTTTGGGAACGAGTGGAGTCTGTTAAGAGGAAAGGCAAAAGAAACTGCACACAAGCACTACAATCTACTTGATGAAGGTGTTTCCCATAGGGGCGCATGCTGACAATTCTAATACCATTATACATGTACACTGCAATCGAACGACTAAAACAGTGGATGGCAGGTGGTGGGAGCCACGTTTCTCACTGTTGGAGAAGTTACAAGTAACAAGGGGAGGTCTAGACTGATCCTGTAGTCAAGGCTTAGAGTTGGAGACATCAGTACAATATAAATCCATGTTTAGCTTAATATATATATACTTAGTGTATAATATTTTTTTTTTTGGAGACAGAGTCTCACTTTGTTGCCCAGGCTAGAGTGAGTGCCGTGGCGTCAGCCTGGCTCACAGCAACCTCAATCTCCGGGGCTCAGTGATCCTACTGCCTCAGCCTCCCGAGTAGCTGGGACTACAGGCATGCACCACCATGCCCAGCTGACTTTTGCATATATATTTTAGTTGGTCAATTAATTTATTCTATTTTTTGTAGAGACGGAGTCTCGCTCAGGTTGGTTCAACTCCTGACCTGAGCAATCGCCGCCTCGGCCTCCAAAGGTAGATTACAGGCGTGAGCCACCATGCCCGGCCTAGCTTAATATATTAATAGCTACAGAGGATTACACACAGAAATACCTACGAATGTGTGTATGTACATAGGCTAGTACACACACATGTATTATCTCCTTGCTCCATCAACTGAGAGGGCCTAAAAGCAATGACACCCCGACATCAACAAGCATACCTAGCACCCAGATCTTGGTTTTCAATGCCAAGCTCCAATAAATGGAACCAGGGCTCCTTGGAGAAATAGCTGATTCTAGGACTGGGTTAGAAAACATACGAGATGAGCCTGGAGCATCTTGTAGTTCCAGAAGGTAAAAAAAAAAAAAAAAAGGACTCAGGCCAGGTGCGATGGCTTACGCCTGTAATCCCAGCACTTTGGGAAGCTGAGGCAGGAGGATCACTTGAGGCCAGGAGTTTGAGACCAGCCTGGGCAACATAGTGAGGCCCCATCTCTACAAAAAATAGAAAAATCAACCAGGCATGTGGGCACATGCCCACAGTCTCATCTACTCAGGAGGCTGAGACAGAAGGATTGCTTGAGCCTAGGAGTTTGAGGTTGCTGTGAGCTATGATGATGCCACTGCACTCTAGCCTGAGCAATAGAGTGAGATCCTGTCTCAAAAAAAAAAAAAAAAAAAGTGTTCAAAAAAACAAACACAACACCGAAACCCACAACAATGGGGGTATAGCAGAGGGAGACAGAAGCCAAATGAAAGAGTTCTCAATGGCCAAAGCTGGAACAATCTGAGCAACAAAATTAATAAAGGATTATTATATTACAACTCAAAGTATGAAATAAATATACAGGAGTCCGTACTAATATGAATAAATGGTTAAACAAGTGAATAAGTGAAGAGGAGAGACAAATCTCCTTTGAAGGCATTCCAAATAATTTATGTAGCCATTCCACCCTCAGAGGCAGCGCTTAACTCCCTACTCCTCACATCGGGGGCGGCACACAGCGACTTTCCTTCCAAGGATGACCATGTGGAAAAGGGGAAAAGGGTAACTTCGCAGTGCAGCAACGTGACAAATGCTACTTCAGCCAGGTGACCAAGGTTTAACACCAAGAGTGACAGTCATGTTGACAGTATGTACTTTTGGTACGACGGGGTGAGAATGACAATTAGCCTCTGTGGTCTTCCTCCCCAAAATACATAACCCACTCTAACCCTAAGGAAAAATAAGACAAATCCCTATGGAGGGACATTCTGGACCATAGGCTAGTACACACACATGTATTATCTCCTTGCTCCATCAACTGAGAGGGCCTAAAAGCAATGACACCCCGACATCAAGGGGTGTCAAGGTCATGAAAAACGAGGAAAGTCTGAGAAACTATCAAGCCAAGGAGGACTAAGGAGTCACGAGCACAGAATGCAACATGGCATTCTGGGGGAGAGCCTGGAATGGCAAGTGGACGTCAGGTAAGAACTAAGGGACTCTAACTAAGGTATGGACTTCAGTTAATAACAGTGTCAACATTGGTCCATCAACTGGGACACGAGTACCAGGCAAATGTCAGATGTTAATAATCAGGAAAACTGGATGTGGGTTGAATGGGAACATTCAGCACTTATCTCCACAACCTTTCTGTAGATCTACAACTGTTATAAAATAAAAAGTTCATTTATTTAAAGAACATTCCCATATATTATTAAAATTAAGTTTCTCATACTTAGCTGAATCTGCCTGCCAATAATTTCTACCATCCTGAGTTACACTCGACAGCTCTCTGTCTGGACCCTGCTCTGGCACCAGGACCGCATGTGGCTGTCCTTTGTGGTTACTCGGGACCCAACTCAAAGGGCACAACCTCGGCGAGGGTTTCCTAACTTCCGAGCCTGAAGAAGCATCTTAATCCCATCCCACGTGCTTTCCCTATTATCTTGCCTTGGTTCCTTCTGAAATTGTTTTAAGTTTGCCTGTTGTCTCATAACCACACCCATCCATGAGAGCCAGGTCCTCGTTAGTCTTGTCCACAGCTACTTTCTCAAGTGCCTAGAAAGGTGTCCAGAAACGCAGTGCGGGCCCACAGAAAGTATTAGTTGAATGACCAAATATAACATTGTTCTGCCTTCTCTTGAAGGACCACAGGATAGTCCTTCAAACCCAAGAACTCGCATCCCTCCAAGTTTTCTTTTCTTCAGACTGAGAAGTCACTCGATGTAGTCCCCTTGTACCGAATGATGATATAGTAGTAGTAATAATAACAACAATTTTTATTTATTTAGTGCTTTACCCTGTGCAATGCACTGCAGTAAGTGCTTTTAA